AGTATTAATTCATTAGGAATTTGATATGAGAAATTCGATATAAGAAAATTGTAATACCCAGGATGACCTTCTGAAGGCATTCGGGCTTTTTGTGTCAAAAAGCCCGAATTATGCTACTATATATAATCGATCTTAGATAAGTGAAACGTATAGTAAAAATTTATTAGTTTTTTCTGATCTTAATATCACGTTTGTAGATATACAATAACTTTTATTATTTGACATTAATTCTTGTTTAATAATATTATTTAATGGTTTTAGGATAATATAACGCCTTTTATAAGAAATTTTCCAATTAAAATGGGAATATTTAATAATTGCCAACCTTTAATTAGTAGAACCGATGATTTTCATTGTGTTAAAAAAGGTAGTTTAAAGATTCTTATTAACTGTATAGCATTTTTTTTTTATAATTTGCAAACTAATAAAATAAATATTTTAAAAGCTCGAAATATGCATAATGAAGATATGCGTATTTATCTAATTAGTAATTTTGTTATGTTAACAGAATACCTTTGGTATTTAAAAGAAAATACGGAAATAAGTTAGATTTAACAAATGAAATATTAAATCTGAAAGATAAACAGACAGATGAGCTTACTGAAAGATTTTTTTCTTCTAATGTATTAAAAGGTATAAAATAATTTTATTTTAATTATTTGATATTGAAATAATTAATAAAAGGTTTAACTAATATATCAGCTCTTTTAGCTATAGTTCAACATGCTATTGAACATAATGATGATTCATTTTATGGAAATGCTCTTTATCATTTCTTTGCAGGATTATTATTTGAATCATAGAAATCTCATACAATAAATCATCTAAATAGGATTCGATTTGCATGAACAGCAATAATATTTTTTGTTGCAATACAGCATTATTTAATATTAAACAAAAACTAATGAAATTCTCAAAAATACAACATATCCTGGCAATCGAATGATGACTTTATTTATCTTAGCACTACTTTAATTCTTTTAATTCATCATTTTCCAAGTTATTATCCTGGGATTCCATTATGCCCATGGATTATTTCTACTGCTTTTTAGAACATATATTTGGTTATGTATGATGAATAATTGAAGATTTTACTGTTTTAGATTTTTTAATGATGAATGAAAAAATTTTTAAAACAATTTCAATTGAAATAAAAGATATAAGTTTTTTTAATTAATTTTATGTAAATTTTTAAAATATTATTTATTTTTTTTTTAACTATTATTTAAGGAAACTTAATAAGACCAGATAATAATAATAGATACAATATTCATCTTTCAACTAACTGCAAAAGATAAACTCGCAAAGACTTTATTGGAATTTCCTAATATATTTGACATAAATTCTAATATGTTAAAGGTTTGTATTGTAAATCAAGTTTTAACTATGTAATATAATTATTATTAATAAGAACTAATATTTGTTATAGGTTTCGAAAGCAATGAATTTGTTAATGATATCCTATATAATTTACATGAGAACCCTTTAGCAGGACACTTTGCCCTTGAAGAAACTTATAGGAGAATGAAAATTAGATATTACTGATCCCAAATGTATGAGGACGTATGATAATATGTTCAAACATGTGATGCCTGTTAGCAACGAGGTAAAAACAAGCAAACGAAACCTCTACATCCTATTAAAGTTAGACAACCCTTTGATTGAATTGAAATGGACATTGTTGAACCCTTGCCAAAAATGAAAAGAGGAAATAAATACATACTTGTCACAACTGAATATTTAACCAAATGGCCAGAGGCAAAAGCAATACCAAATGTAAAAGCAAAGTCAGTTGTTTCTTTCTTTTATGAAGATACCATTTGTAGACATAGTTATCCAAAGGAACTTCTTACTGATTGAGAAACGCATTTTGTAAATAAAATGTTAAATTCTTTTTATGATGAATTAGAAGTAAAACACAAGCTATCAACTGTGTATTATTCACAAACAAATAGACTTGTTGAATATTTCAATCAAACATTATGTAAAACGTTAGCCAAATTTGCAAATAATAATAATGATGACTGGGATACATTCATTCCCTCAGCCTTTTTTGCGTACAGGACTAAGCAACATGAGACAACACAACATAAACCTTTTTATTTGATTTATAGTGGAAACATTACATTGCTAATTGAATTTCAGGTGGAAATATAAAATATTAAATCATCATCTGATAATGTACAAAATGATTTACTATAGAGAGTACAATGAATAACTGATCGAATGAAGAATGATATCAAGGAGACACAAAATAGGATAATGATAGTACAGCAAAAACAAAAGGAATGACATGATAAAAATCTGCAATCCAATTACAAATTTGAAATAGGATAGTTAGTATTAAAATATGAGACCAAGATTGAAGGAAAAAGAAAATTAAACGATCGTTAGACTGAACCTTATTACATCCATGCAGATTTAGGAAACGGAGTTTACAAATTAAGGACAATGAACAAAAAAATTTTGAAAGTACCAATTAATGGTATACGGCTAAAACCTTATCACTAACGACCTTTGCCTGAACTAATGGTAATAATTAAAAGATAAAATTAAATAAAAAAAGTCACTAAAAACCCTTCCTTACAAGTTAATGAAAAATAAATACTTTCGACATCTTCTTAACAAATAATACTCCTTATCAACTCCTTTTGGACGATCTTAAGCAAACTGAATCAGTTAATTTATTTATCATATCCTCTACCTTATACTAATGAAATGGACATAAAAGAAAAATTCTATTTTATTACAAGAGCAATGTTTAGAGCTAAACGAATTTATAATCATATTTCTTTCTTAATTAATGCTTTCTACTTAGATCAATTTCTTGAAACTTTAGAAAATATGACTACACGAGCAATTTATATTAAGAAAATAACTTGACATTATTATCTGACCTCAGTTCGTATTTATTATCTTTATAAAGTACTAGGTACATTCCAAATCATTAGGTCATGAAACTTGACTCTTAATCTAATCTTAAGGGTATCTAAAAGTCAATTTAACGAATTAGTTGATAAAGCCTTGAATATTTTGCGTGAATGCAAAATCTCGAAGGAGAGTGATATTACACCTAAAATTGATATACAAAAATGATCTACAAGACTAAAAGAATAATCAAATTCGTGTCATATTAAAATGATTTGCAGTACTGTAACTACATTAGATAATTAAATGATTTATATATCTTATTTCCTAAATTTAGTAGTCTAATTTTATTATATAAATAAGTCATTTATTATTAATGACATTTATTTTATTTATTTCATTTTTCTCATTTATTTTATTTTATTAGTTTATGTTATTTATTTATTATATTTATTTTATCATGATTAGTGAGTATTTTTATATAAATAGGAGTAATCCATCAATATAAAAAGGATAAGAACTGTCTTGTCTTGAATAATTCTTTTGATAAATAAACTGTTTAGTACAGACGTGTTGACAGAGGCAGTACTAATCTTTTATTTGTTAAATAATTATTTGCACGTATTTCATCCAGTTTATCGTAATTCTCTTTAATTTCTTATCTCATGTCTTTATCTCTACTCTTCTGTGTGAAGGAAACCTTCTGCTAAACTGTGATATCACAGGTGATTTACCCATGATCTAAAAGAACTGGCATAATAATAGCTAATTCATTATATTCAGTAACAACTGTAATTTCATAAAAATCTTTAATAGTAAATTTTATATGTAAGGATATGAAAGAGGGAAGATAAAAAAAATAATAAATTATATATTAAACTAGACTTTTAAGAAATAAAGAATTACACAAATATATTTTTATTTAGACAAATTAAATTAAAATTTTGTATATTACCTACCCATAGTATTTGAGATGATAAATGGAAAATTTGCTAGGAAAATCAGGCTCTGAGAATTTTTTTGACTAAAATTAAGACCTTATTATATTTTAATCTAATAACATCAAAAACTAAAATACAATAAAATCAAAATTTGGTTAAAAATTTCTAGAGTCTGATTTTCCTAGCAAACTTTCCAAATGCTATTCTAAAATAAGGTTTAAGTTAATATTCTTTTTTTAAAAAAAAGTATGATATAATTCAATTAAGGTTTAAGAAAATAACCTAAACCCATAAGTCTAAGACTTCACACAAACATAAGCATAGCGGACATGCTTAATTTTATAACATTTTGCCAAAATTAATAATAACATGATTATATTTGTAATATTCAAAAATTTGGCTCAAAGTTAACTTTTGTGTTATTTAAATTTTATTGTAATACTCTTATATTATATTCTACATAATCTAAAATATCAAATATTATGGTTGATATAGTTTGGCCATGTATTTATAGCTTTACCCAAATCTTAGAAGTTTAAAAAAATTAATTTATTATGTAATTTACTTAATTATTTTTTTTTAGCCTTTAGCTAATTTATTTATAATGCCTAATCTTTGATTTATTATTTTAGAATCTCATTTTACATGATTTAAAATATTGAATTTATTAATTTGTAGAATTTGTCTAATCATATGCTATATTTGCCTGAAGCTTTTAATTTATTCATTTATATATGATCGATAAATGATTGACAAGGTGATATAAGCAAATCAAAAACTAACAATATAATTAATTAATTCTAACCTGAACCTTTAATTCTTCCTCAATTGTATGTACTGGCAACCTTGAAACGAAATGTTACATAGATAAATAAATAAGAATACAATTCAGAAAGAATTGCTATATATTTGGATCAAACGAAAGATCTTAAGAATGGATAATGAAAAAAGACACGGTTTTTTATTTAATAAATTATCAATTTTATTAATATTTTAACCAAATATATTAATATATACAGTAAACAATAACTATAGATGCTTGATTGATGGTAATGAACTTTAAAAATTGAAACATGTATATAAATATTCATATTTGTTAAAAAGTTATAAAATAAATATCTTCGTGGGTTATCTTATCTATCTTCTATTGCTCCAGTAGGAATTTTGAATTGGTAAATCTAAAAAAAAAAGATTTTTTTTTTAATCTCAGGATAAAATCAAATCATAAAATCAAAAACTTACCATAAAATAGACTATAGATTTCACCATCCGTGAGTACAGTGATTTTAACTCTACAACACGCTCCTTTAAAAATTTAAATTCTTTTATAATACCAAGTTCTTTAAAACTATCTTTCTTTTTTGCATAATTGATTAAAACATTTAATGAAATAATCAGATAACTTTCCAAACGATACAACTTGAGACATTCAAGTTTAAATTGAGATTCATCAAGTAACTTTTCCAAGAATTTATCAGAGACAGGAAAGTTCAATTCAAAGATTTTGAGAGAACAGATGAGTACTTTAGAGAAACTGTTAAAAAGTTCAATGTAATTCAAGGTATTATTACAAATTATATCAGTATTTAATTTCAAATGAACTAATTGATGCATATTTCTTAATAATTCCAATAAATCCTCTAATGAAATTGAATGCATTATCAGAACTAAATGAAAATGAGTTAAATTCAAAAAATATAACCCTTGAATTTCCTTAATATAAGGACAATAAGTTTCTTCAACTTTAAGTGATTTCAAGTTTTTCGTCGATAAAAGGATCTGTTTAAAGAGTATAATGGAATCTGTATTATGAGAGATAGAACAATTATAACTTAAATGTTCTAAACTATCCAAAGTAATCATCATAATTTTTGTGAAACATCCCTATCAGAAGTGAGCAAGATTCTAAGTTTGAGCGTGATTAAATTTGGTAATGATTTTAACATGAATAATAAAATAAAATTGAACCTTCTAATTTAAAAATAGTTAAAGATTTCAAATACTTTCGTAAGACATTAAGAAAGGGTTTAAATTCATCTTTCCAAAATTCATGGGATAATAATAATGACTTTAACTGATTCTGAGATTGAATAAAGTTAATTAAATTTCTAGATAATTTAGGTTTGACCGAATTAATATTAAGGATTTGAAAGTGTTGAATATATGGTGATAAAATATTTTGAAGCTTTAACACATATTCTGTGACAGGAGTCATCAAGTCCGTACTGTTATTATTGAACAATCCAATTAAAATTTTCTTAACGTTAACTAAACTAAGCTTATGATTCTTATGTTCACAAATATCAAGTATCGACCTTAGTCCACTTAATAAATCATTATAAAACAAGTTAAGAGTCTCATATTGAATCCCTTTGTTAAAAAATAAATCTTCAATAAACTTATTAATATAAATTACTCTTTTGCTAACCCTCCTTTCTCTGCTTGGAAAATTTCTTGAAGTCTAAAATCTCATTACTTTTTGCAAAGGATTCAGTTCAAATTCTTTGATAAAAGTTTAATAATTAAAAAAAGCCTTGGGTGTAGAAAGTTTATCTATTTCAATTGATCTACTAGACAACCATTTTTTATCAGATGGTTCAAGACATTGAATCAATGTGTTAAACATTTGAAGTAATCTATTGTAATCACTTTTAATAAATTTAAAAGGATTTATCCAAAGGATCAGAATAAAAATTCGACAAAATACTCTATTCAAAAGGATGCACAAATATAAGGTTTTCATATCATCTTTTAAATAACTTATGATTAAATCATGATATTCCTGATAACGAGGGTCTAAAATTGTTATGATATTTACATTATTTTCTGACATTTTGAATTAAACTTAGTTTTGGTGAGAGAAATAATTTCTTTTTCTCTTTTTTTGAAGTAAAGAAAATTTTGATTTGATATATATATGTATGTTTTTTGACTTTTGTTTTCAAATAAGCATGAATCTTTTGTTTCAGTTATGGTTGATTACGCAGTAAGCACAATAAATATTATAAGTGTTCATGACCAAATTTAGATTAAAGTTTTTTTATAATGTATAGTATCTTTTTTAGTAACATTAACACTTTGTTTTTGTCATCCAAAATGGGTTAAAAAAATTTCGATTTGTCAAAATTTCTGCTAGATCCAGGTATATAAAAATAGTTACCTATGATCAATAGTTCATAAATGTTAAAATTTATGGACATTATTTTTAATTAAAGGCTCCTCCAAAAAAATAAAATAAAATATAAAAATAAAATAATTTTTCACTTTTTACGAAATTTTTCTTTTTTTTTATGAATAAAATAGCATTTTCACAAGAAAAAAGATCTATGAACATGTAACTAATTTATCGACTATTACAATTCTACTAAGTT